TCTTCTAAGGCTCAGTCATCTTCTGATTGACAGGTTGCTACCACATGGGTGTGTATGGTCTCCACTTCTTTCATCACAACCAGATACAAACCAAGATGTCGACAGCCAGAGTGCCAAACTGGAGGCTTTAAAAGAGTAGTCCACAAAGCAGTGGGTGACATCCGAGTGGCAATATCTATTCTTTGTACACAGTGTATACACAAGACTTGCCTTCTCTCCTTGACCCTCAGCTACTGCAACATGCCTTCACGTTGTTTCTTTATTGAATGTACAGAATAAACTGATACACAAATGGGACTGTGATGTGTGTGCACTGGCTTATACAAAGTGTTTACATGTGAAACAACTTGCTGCTAAGGCAAGGAACTAGAAAATGGAAGCAGCATGTAAAACTCTGGCCGTTAAAAAAAAAACAGAATTACTAGTATTGCAAAAAATATTTGGGTCAGGGCCTGCTTGGTTTATATGGAATTTGCACACCAGATCTCAGAATCAACCAGAGCATTATTAGAAGAACAAAGTCCATGTGACAACATACTGTACTGCTGTGACCTGGTCCTGAACATCAACGGTTCCTAGTCCCTGGTAAACATCTTGAAGGATCCTCTGACCCTGGAAGCCGCTGCCACGACCGTCCAGACGGGCCACGATGACGCTCTCTGAAGTGACCAGGACAGATTCCCAGCCGAGAGAAAAACGGTCACTCACAGCCTGACCACCAGGGGCGCTGTCTCTGTAGGAGGGCAGACAGTTTGGTCCAATCAGAACACCAAACATTCCCAAGACATAGTGGTTCATGTGGAAACAAATTTTAGGGCAGTGGTTCCCAAACTTTTTGGTTTGAAATGCCTTTAAAGCTAATTTTCCTAATTCCAAAGTACATCTGGGGCAATGAAAAAATGAGCATTATGTTTCGATTATCTCACAATATAACGACTGTTATGACATGCAGTAAGTCAAGAAAATGTGTTGAAATAGTATTACGTACAGGACCAGTAAAAGCGGATGCTCCCGTGTTTCATCCAGATTTCTCGGGACAATTAACTCCAGGCGAAGCGCTGCAAAATAAGTCAGTAGATTTCAGTAAATATGAGTCTCAATTACTTTTGATGTGCCGTGCATGCATTTCTATCCTTCAGATTATGCCAAACCTCTGTGTACTGCACGGTCAGGTTAGTAGCTTCACTGATCGGGGTTGGTGGAGGTAACATGGAGTCATGTTTAGCTGGTGTTTTAAATCGTTTCACTTAGTTTTAACACGGTCTCACTAATCGAGTGCAGATAAACCTGATTTACCAAAGAGGCCTTACTCATGTGAGTAAATTACAAAATGATGGAAGTTGATAAGTTCGGAGGGCAGTCGTGGGATTGTTGTTAACTGGGATGAACCAGTGGGGCAAAGATGTCAGAACAGCACCATCAGCACAGGATGACTGTACACGTCTAACACAAAATTTGAGAACTGCACATAAAGCCTTTTAATAAAGTGTTAATATAAGTTTAAGGCTACACTGCTGGTCTAGTTGCCTTCTGACAAAAACAGTCGGTGCTGTATGACGTCTGCATGATTAAGACTCGGCAGCTTCCGATCCAAAACAAACAGTGCTTCATGTGAAAAGTAGGTCTGTGGGCTCGTCAGCTTTTGTTGACAGGGTCCCATCTGACTGTATTACAGCGCAAAAGGCCATAAATATGTATCACATTGTCTCTAATAGCGAACACAGATTACAGAAAGGGAGCCATATGGCGAGCCGTCCCCTCTAATTGAAACAATATACGGCTGCGCTTCTGATTTCAATGCTGTTCTAGCTCAGCACCTGTTCATCCTGAAGACAAGTCTGCCGCTCAGAGTTTCACCGTCCGGTTCACGGGCTCCTAACATGCCGGAAACTATCACTATTATTACTGTTAGTGCATTGAGATGCCCTTGAGTAATGACGTGACAGTTACTTGACTCTTTTCAAGCAGCCTGGCTCCCATAACAGGGGTAGGGAATTCCAGAAACCCTGTCAGATAAAGAAATCTCGTGCTGTATTTTGTGCTATTGACAGCACTGGTTTTCTAACGGTCTTATTTGCATGTGCATGAGACGTTAAAGTATCGTCATAGCTGCAGATTGTCGTGCACTCCAGCTAAACCACAAAGCAGCCTCCTTGTGTCTACGTGAGTCGGCTTCAGCTGCCGAACGGTTCATTTTTAAGAGTGGATTTACATTCATCAGCTGTCTATTCTACATAAATGATTAGCAAGCACTTCTTTCACACAGAAAACAACCGGTAGCAGTGTCGTGTTTTGTCTGTGACTGGAGCTTACAAGGATGTAGGTACATTTTTTTTAATTCATCTTGCACGACCGCATATGAGCTGCAAGTACGGTGTTTGTTTCCCATATGGAAAAAAAATGATCCGAAGAGGAAGTATTTTCATGCTGCAAATCACAGCTTGTGTTTGCACATTTGGAAAAATGATTGGTGGGTGTTGAAGAGGTCATCTGGTGAAAATTACGTTTTGGTTTTTTCTTTACGTCTGGAGACACATCATGAGCACAACGAGCGGTCGACCCCATGGCTGAGCATTTCACCTCCAAACTGCAGTGCACTGATTACAGTCTCAAAACAACACATTCAGACTTGCAAGATGGGGGGCCACTTCAGAATTGGTTTGTGGTTTGCACATGTATGGCTGAAATTCTCCAACATTACAACCAGGCATTTCTATGAGTCTACTCTAAAGACTCTGTTCAATACACGTGCAGTGAGTCATACTCTGTGGAAACACTACTGCGTCCACACCATTGATCTTTTACTGCAGTTGCCACGCAAACACACATTTTGGTCTAAATACAAATACAAATGTGTGGAAGGGCCCACCTGGACTTGGGGAGATAAAATGTATGTCTAGCATAGCACCTGTCTTACAGTGTTTAAGCAGGAGACGAACCGTTGTGCTGAACCTGCAGGCAAGTGGAGACCTTGTAGATTCACACATTCTAAAAGAGGCAAATGTAGGAGTGTAGAGTTCTATCTAAGCCATCTTAGGGTATTATTTTGATGAAGAAAAAATACTAGTAATATGTAGCTTTGATACAGAGGCATGAACTTTTAGGGATTTAATGAGCGGCTGGAGACGGACTTTGGCAAAATATGATTCAGAAAGTCCAGCTTGAGTCGTTTATCCATTAATTTGAAGGCATATGAGGTACAAAACAGAATCCCGCACACTGTCTAACTTGCAATGATAAAGCAACATTTCAGGTGCTAGACCTTCATCAGGCAAGTGATGATTCCTTTGGGTTCATGAAATAGAGGCAAGACTTCACAACTCTGGAAATTCCGATTGCTTGCATGCACACAGCAGCTGATAAAATAGAGAATGCGTGAGGATTGAACATACTGGCTGTTTGGCTGTAAATATGGTGATAATACAGACAATGCTCTGGGGGTGAGTTAGAGGACAACAAATCATTATCACAAAGCACGTGAAAACACGATTAAGGACGGTTGTAGCGTCTTACCAAAGTTGTTGATCAGCACAGTTCTTCTCTCCCACTTGGGCATTGTCCTGTTTATCAGTGCATGTCTTAATTCTGTGTTTGTTTCCAGAGTCTTGTGCTCTGCAGGATGACAGGATGAGAAGAATGACTTGTAGTTAATAGAAAGCGACAAATACAACATGCACTCGATGGAATTTATTTCAATATCAAATGTGAACGGACGTTTCCAGCTACATTAATTACTCGAAATCCAGCTCTTTTTTAGTTGTATGACTTGCTTCAAGTGCTTCAATGTGGGTAGTTTTTTTGTTTTTTCTAAAAGACACCATTTCCCATAATCCCTAGAAGTCCACGTTGGAAGACTAGTAAAAAATGTCAACGATAAATGATCAAGGTGAGTTGGAGCGGGACAAATCCAAATGAAGGTGGCACTAATTGGTACCAAATGCCATGTTTGTAGTTTTCTTTCATGGGAGATGTAGTTTGTTCATTTCTTCCATAGTAACCATAGCTAAAATCACAAAGGTTTCAAGTGTTGTGTGTCAAAAGTTGTGGATGTTGTTTTGACTGAGAATATAGAGAATAAATTCTAGGAACATGATTACATTCCTCAGAGAGCTGAGCAAGATAACGCAGTACGCTACAGCAGCAATGGACGTCCGCTCTTTGTTTTCAGTTCAAGAAGATCTGCCCGTTGAGTCGTCGTACATGATAACCATCAAAACACTGACATCCAGAACTGTGGAGAGGATCCGCTGTCAGGGAGTTTAGTTTTGGAGCGGTCGTTTTCTTCATCCTTAAGTTTGAAGGACAACTACTCTATTTTCTATTATAATGTAATATAATGTGTCATTTGTGAAAACCACAAAATGGTTTGAAGACATCCAAGTAATGTGATGAGCTAACGGAACAGCAGACATGTTTGCTCTCTGTAGTCAAGTCACACAAGTGGAGAAATTCAATGATTGATTGGCCAAATGTTAAACCCTACAGTACATAAAAACATGACACGATCATATTAAATATATCACCATCTGTCAATCTGCAGCGACTGTGGGAGGAAGATTATCGCTTATCTGCTGCTCAGTCCCCAGATGCTGTTCTGAGTGCCTCTGATGTACACTCAGCATCATTTTAAGCACTTAACGCTTCACCTAATTGCATCTTCATGTCCATTTTTTTTGCAGACTTACGTCAACCTCTGTTGTCGAATGTCGGCTTGATGGTTTAATCTTAGCATCTTAATCTGCAAAACGTGATTTGACCAATTAATGCACTTTTCAGATGCTGAAGGAACACTGAGAGAAAAAAAAAAATCAATGTGTGCTTCCATCTAAATATAATATATAAATATACCTGATGCAAGTGAGCGAAAGAGTGTAAAGAGAAGATTGATTCGAGTTTATCAGCTCCAGACACAACTTACCATTCATATCACTCAGTTTGTGAAGAGTAGTTTGGGGTATTCCAGGGCCTGGGGAGAAATGAAAGTTTAAGTCGGTAAATATAACTTTATTTGACATTTTATTGCAGGTGTTGTATTTTATGTTAGGGGCATTAAACATAAAGAGATTAAAAGACAGGAAAATCTAACCCTAACAGAATAAAGACTGAAATGATACTTTTTAGTGTGAAAATATAAAAACAGCCCCTAAAACAACAACAAATATGTATTCTATACAACTGAACTTAGCCTTTGAGAGATAAAAGTAGGGCTCAGGAACATTAGCATGCAATGATTTTACTTATTATTGTTCACTTGGGTGCCACCAGGAAAGCCTAACAAAAAGCCAGTTGAGTTTAGGTTGCATTAAAGCGCAAAACGCAGCAAACCTCTAAGTCTCCCTCAGCATGACACTTTCCACAGAGCTCTGACCTGACGGCATACGATCAACGCTAATGCTAACCACAGCAACAACACAAACGCAAAATGCAAAACAAAAACATTGACATGAAAAACAAAAGTAATCGACTTAAGTTCCCAAGATACTGGGCGTGCATGAAGACTCTTGTGTTCACTCTTGCAGCCACCAGCATAACGTTTGGTCGCTGTTCAGAATTTTCAGAAGCAGCTCTAGTGAGGAAATAAAACTGGCAGACACTCAGAATTTAAGAGGGAAGCAGTGTTTATCTGGTTCTGATGTCACAACGGGCCTTTTGATAGATAGAAAAATGAAAGAAACAGGAGGATGCATTTTGTGAGTCTCTCATAATACTAATAATGACATCTCTCCCTCCCTTGTAGAGCCAAAATGTCATCTTGAACAACAGTAAAACAAGCTGTGAGGCTGTAAAAAAATAAAAAAATAAATAAAAGCAGCCCCCCAGATGATAGTGTTATTAAGCCCTCAGCTGTGATGTTCCAGCCACAGGCGCTACCTCTGCAGTTAAGAAGAACGTGTTGGTAGTTGGGGCTGAGGACGGCGTCGAAGTAGGTGCACTTTGTTTTGAAGAGGGAGCAGGTCAGGCATTCTTTGAGAAATGGATCCGCAGTGGAGACCCTGTTTGCGAGGAGGAGAACAACAAAGCCGTGTGAGGACAAAAGAAATCAATTTCAGAGGACTTGCAACTGTTGAGCTACCATCAGTCTGTTTGAGCTGCAGGCGAAATGCAAAACGAGTCTGTCAAAATAAAACGTCCTGTTTGATACATGTGAGCACTCTAGTTGATCCGATAAAGTGCTTTTTCCTTTAGCCGGTTTGATGCGTACGTCCAGTTTGCACGCAGTTCAAATACAGAATAAAAGCTCCAATGAAGAATTTAAAAACAGAACAAAACATCAGATTTTATTTCATATTTACATGCAGCATCCATGTAAGAGTAAATGCCACATTCCCAGCATGTTTTCCCACCTATTAGCATTCCTTTCTCTTAGTGATTATCTTGAAAGTTTTTCCTTAAATTGTGACACAAACTTGACTGTAAGGCTCCATGTGTCTCATTCTAAAGGACAAGATTGATGCTAAAAAATAAGATGAGCAGATCAGTCCTACACTCTAATCTGGACAGCAAATAGAAACTCATCAGGCACTTTATTAGGAACAACACACCAATACTGCGTGTTGCATTAGACGATGCTCAATTGCGATCAGAAAGGAATGCACATGATCAGCAACAATCCTCAGCTTCACATTTCTGCTGTTCGCTGACAGAACTGGAACCTGACACGGTCTTCTGCTTGTTGTAGCCCATCAGCCTCAAGGTTGTACGTATTGTTCATTCTGAGCTGTTTGTCTGCTCAGCACAGCTGTAAAGTGCGCTTATTTGAGTCAGTGTAGGCTTCTGTCAGCTCCAATCAGTCCGACCTCTGACCCCTCTCATCAACAAGGCGTTTCGGTCCACAGAGCTGCCGCTCGCCGAATGCTTCTCTTGTTTTTATTGAGAAAACTCTGCAGACTGTTGAGAGCTCAGCAGTTTCAGAAACACTCAAAGCAGAGACTGAGAGGTGACTGAGATCACTTTTCTTTTTCTCCATTATGATGCTTAATGTGACCACTAACTGAACTCTGACTGTATGTAAGACCCTGCTGCTGCATGATTGACTAGATAATTGCATGAATAATGCATAAAGGGATTTCTGTACACTTACCTTTTAAAGGTTTTCCTAATCAAGGATAAATCTTGTCTTATAAAATCTACAGCCAGCAGATGATAAGTTCAAATCAATCAAGTCAATTTTATTTGTACAGCGCAGTTGACAACATATGTCATCACACAGCGCTTAACATGGTACAGTATAGACCTTACAAATGAAGCTGAGGATTGTGTTGCCTTGTTTACCCTGTGTCGGTCCAAAAGGTGATATTGGTCATGATTTGTTTAATCCATTTGGAAACTAAAATGTTAAGTCCCAG